TACTAAATACATCTTGAGTGCATTGTTGGCATTTTTGTTTCTGCATGTTAGCAAAAATATCTCACTGGGTGGATTTGAATGCAAATCTCAGAAAGTAATAGTCAAATGTACATCTGACTAACCTTTGGAGTTAACCCAAATCAAGAAGGCTGCAACAGCCAGCGGATCTTAGAAAGCACAAAAATGGCTATAATCTGAACATTTGTAAAGACTAAAATTTAGTGCGGTAGTAGCTGAGTTGTTCCCAACATACTGTATATCTTGGTAGTGAGAGTTTGTGTTTGTTGTAAAAGTGTTTTCAAAGTTAGTATTTATCTTTTCATGTCATTCCATGATGAAGGGAAATTAGAACATTACGTCATTTTATTGCTGTCTAGATATTTGTATTCCTTGACAGACTGTATCGGGGGGGCATGGGGGGGCGGGGGCAAAATTTAAAACTTGATCTAAGCCGAGGGCCAATCTCTGTCAGTATTTATTGAAAAAATATTATATGGCCAATTATTCTTTATACTGTAGAAATACAAATAACCTTATACAATTTGTAGCACTGATGACATATAAACTAACAGATAAATGTAAAAGATTAAATTTGGAAAGACTCATCTAAATTAACATTCATTTAATTTGTTTTACTCTCTTTACAACTTTTTAATTTATATTTTAGACACATTTTATCACAATTCAACAAATCAGTTCAAAAAACCCTCATCAAAAATCTAATGATTTGACTTTAAAATAAGAAGAGATAATGTTAAAATATAATTAAAGTTTATTCTCTTTAGCTCTCTCCACACAAAATCAAAGATTACTAAAAAAAAAATTCAGTTTTAATTTTCTTGGCTTGAAAGTTGGTCTGCTCATAAGAATGCACTAAAATGTCAACAAAAAGAGAAACAATAAAACTATTTCACATTAAAAAAAATATTACCTCTGGGGCCTGATGTAATGTTAACAAGGACCAGATTTGGCCTGCGAGCCTTGAGTTTGACACGTGCCTTATATGATTTAGCTAAAGTAGTCGATATTAAAGACATTCCCTAATGATTTAAAAGTACTGACTTAAGAGACTGACTAGACTCTAATGAGACTTTACAGAGCACATATGGTTACTGCAGCTCAACAAAGTTAACTTTTTATGACATTAGCTCAGATCTCAGCACAAACATTGAGTTGATCTTGCCTCTCCGCGTTACCTTTGGGTCTCTGTTAAAGTAGGACATTTCTTTCGCTTCAGTTCGTCGTGTTGGGATGTAACTGAAGGCAGACAGAACGCACAGCGGCTTGTTTTGGGTGTCAAGCGAGAGGTCCGTCATGGAGGCGGGAAAACATACAAACAAGTAAACAAACACAAATAAATAATAAAAAAAAAAACCTCAGAAAACTGCAGAAAACCTCCAGCCGGAAGAAGCTAGCGTTTGCTTTTGCTAGGATACCGAGCTCTCAGCTGTGGTGCGTTCACGAACCTGTTGTTTACCTTGTACATCTGACTTTCTCAGAGCTGAAAGTTTCATAGGAAAAAAAATAGCAACAGCATGAAGATATTTACGGTAAAAAAAAAAAAAAGTTTCATTAATTAAGGGGTCTATGGTGACTCATTATAAACCGCCATACATTATATAAAAAAGACTAATAACAAATAACAAATCACAATTGATCACTGTTATTCAAATTTATAACAGTTTATGTCTTTATATCAAACTTAAAACAGTGTTTATATGTTAAAAAAAACAGAGCTGGTCAACTAAAAGTGCCACAGCTACTGGGCACCAGAAAGTCAAAGGATGGCAAGGAACAAGGAAATTAAATTTTCGATTTAAAATCTAGTTTTGCATTTAATTCACTTAGATGGACTGAGTTGTACACTTAATATATCTGTCATAAATAATCTATAAATTAAGACTCTTTGTTGAACTTACCTGCTATAGAACGTGTGTCAAACTCAAGGCTTGCAGGCCAAATCTGGCCCTTGTCAGTCTTGTATAAAGTACAACAAAGTGATACTTGAGTAAAAGTACAAGTATCTTTCCAAAAATTTACTTTGGCATAGTGTCCTTTAAGAATTTTATTTGAGTAAAAGTCATAAAGTATCTGACGTTTTTTGTACTTAAGGATGAAAAGTAAAAGTATTGACTGAAAATGAGCAGTTAAATTTTACGTAATGACATTTATTAGGAGGTGACCTCCACAAAAAATGCAGAAATGACTTTGTTTCTGTGTTTTGTTTTTAAGTGACTTAAAAGTAACGACTTTCTACTTCTTGTCTTTTTTAAATGTAAGGAGTAGAAAGTACAGATAACTGTGTGAAAATGTAAGAAGTAGAAGTAAAAAGTAGGCTGAAAAATAATTACTCACGTAAAGTACAGATGACCAAAAATTCTACTTAAGTACAGTAAAAAAGTATTTGTACTTACTTTACAAATCTGGCCCTTGTTAACATTTCATCAGGCCCCAAAGGTAATATTTTAAAAGTGAAATAGTTCTCTTTTTGCCACTATGTTTTGTGTGTTCTTCTCATAACAGATGGCCAACTTTTACATCATGAAGTGTGGATTTTTCTGTAATAGTTGATTTTGTTGTGGAATGAGCAACTGCGAATCATCTTTTTCTGTATTTTCTTATTTTAAAGTCAAATAATTGGATTTTTAGTGAGGGTTTTCTTTTCTTTTTTGTACCACTTACGGATTCAGAGATGTGTTGCCACCATAACCTTCAAAACCATCTTATTTCTCCACCAGAATGACACTTTGTGTTTCAACATTTGACATGTTTACTTTGTTTTAGGCTGTGGAGAAAACGAGGATTTGCAAATCCTTACATTTTATTTTCATTGAACATTTTACAACGCATCCCAACTGCCATTTGTGACGTGATAGTCCAGTTAACCTTCAAGCTTTCCCATTTATCAGACTCCAGCCATGTTCCTGACGCACCTTAAATTTCTGTGTGTGTGTGTGTGTGTGTGTGTGTGTGTGTGTGTGTGTGTGTGTGTGTGTGTGTGTGTGTGTGTGTGTGT